CCATCTCTCTGCCCCTCAGTCAATCCCACCTGCATTTATCAGCCAGGCTGGCACAATAAACTATCTCAGGCAGTGAGTTTGGGGTTCTTATAACCCTGACAAAGGAGTCCCGGTGATGTCGTGGTCACATGCTGGGCTGCTAACCCAAGATTAGCAGTGAAGAAACCACCAGCTACTCCTTGGGAGAAAGAGGAGACGTTCTACTCCTGTGAAGATTTACAGTCTTCGAAACCAAACTCATTGCCAAGGAGTGGATGCCTACTCATCAGGATGCTATAGGGCAGGGTGGAACTGTCCCTGTGGGTTTCTGAGACTGTTTAACTCTTACAGGAGAGAAAGCTTCATCTTTTACCCTCGGAGCAGCTGGTAGTTTCGAACTGCTGACCTTGCAGTTAAGCATCCCAATGAGTCCTTGCTGTGCTATCAGGGCTCTTTCAGAAACCTACAGGGCAGTTGTATTCTGTCATACAGGGTTGCTGTGAGTCAGGACTGACTCATGGCAGTGAGGGTTTCCTTGAACCCTGAGAAACAGCCTGGTGGAGCTGCAGGGTAAGCACTGGACTGCTAACCACTAGATTCGAGGTTCGAACCCACAAGCAGTTCAGTGGGAGAAATAGGTGGCTGCCTGCCTCGGGAAGGAAGGATTACAGCCTCGGGATTCCGAAGCGGCAGTTGGATCTACTATGTCCTAGGAGGCCTTTATGAGTGGGAAGCAGCGTGGCAGCAATGGGTGTTTCCTCACCTTGTCAAAGGTGCCCTGATTCAACAGCTGACTGTGAACAGAAAGGTTGGCAGGTCAAACAAACCCACTAGCTAGCTAGATACCTGCTCTGGTAAAGATTACTGCCAAGGAAATCGTATGGAGCACGCTGACTGCTCCACATGCGGTTGCTGTGAGTCGGAAGGTTAGCACACCCACTAACACCAAGAGAAGTGCCTCAGAAGAAAGGCCTGGCAACCTACTGCTTAAAAACCAACCCCTAAAACCATATGACACTGTCTAGCTAGTAGCCACTTGCTATTTTCAGTGATTGGAAAGGTAACGTGACGGGAAAGTGAAGCATACAGTGTGGCACAGATAAACAACATCACTACAAGGTAAAGCTGACCTGTAACTGATATGGCATACAGAAGTTTGAAATATGTGCCATTGTGTGTATGTGTGTGTGTGTGTGTGTGTGTGTGTGTGTGTGTGTGCAGACATGTATGTGTACACAGATACCTGCACACAGGGCGCTCTGAGTAGCATCGACTCGAAGGCCCTGAGTTTGGCTTTTGAAAGGCATCTACGTGAATCCTCCCACTGCCAATGAGTCAATCCCAACTGATCGCAACCCTGAGGCAGTAGCGCTTGGTGGTAGCCTC